CATGCAAAAGGGGTCGTGCAAAATCTTGGAACGTCGGCATGGTCATAAGACCTTTGTTCCCGTGTACAACTCGCACATGCCTCCATGGACCCCACACTCAGGACCTTGAAGCCCGCAACTCTAAGCTCACAGGCCTGAAGCCACAGCAAATGGTTTAGGAACCCCCTGAGGCCCTAAACACATACCCAAGAAGCCCAATACCCCTCAACTCAAGAAGCAAGCTCAAAGAATGCATGATCTATGTCATTTCCCTCATTGGGCTCCCCGGGCAAGCTGCCAAGCCTGCCGAGATCCAAAAGCCACACACCTTCCAAATGCAGAAAAGCGGCCCCCCGCTTCTTGAAGTGCAAAGCATGCTTGCGGATCAGCTTTCGGTACTTGTCCTGAGCCTTGGCTTGGTAGTTTAGATCAAAGGTTAGGGTTGGAAGTTTATGGCTTGGGGCTTAGAGTTTGGGGTTTAAGGCTTGGGCTTGGAGCTTATTAGGTTTTAAGGCTTTGGGTGAGGTCTTTGTTCCTCTATGGAAGAAAGGAAATGAAAGTGGAAGATACCGTAGAATGTGGGGCTAAATCGCAATGGAACAGAAAATGGAATCTGTACCCTATCATTCAGTGTAAGGGGTGTTGGGCTAGATGGCTACAGTAGGGGAGGACCAAGTGTAAAAGAAAATGGAAAATGAAATGGAATGTGTGGCACACTCAAGGTTTACATGGATTGTAGGCGGGCGCCAAGGGGACTGAGGGATGTAGTGGGATTCAGGGCTTTAGGGCTGAAGAGCTTAGGGCTTAGGGCTTGCAAAACCTACAACCTAGCCCCTAAACACGAAATCTGAAACACCAAAACCCACACGCCGGAACCCTAATATTACCCTAATATAACCCTAACTTATACCCAATCTAACCCGAATATTATCCCAATAGACTTGAAACTTCCCTATGATGGAGGTGATTCGACAGCCCAGAGTTGCTGGTGAAGATCTGTCATTATTCCATATGGGCTGTAGTCTAACCTCCTTAAAGGGGGCTACATAGGGCTTAGGGTTTAGGATCTAGACGCCTTAAAGGGGATTCTATGGGGGAGTACTCTAGGGGTTATTCAGGGGGATACTAGGAGTTTAGACTATAGCTCATATTGGGTGTCTCAACATTCAGGGAACCCTCCGGGTGGGTAGATATCAGGTGAGAACCCTTAAAGTCAGCCTATAGGGTTTACGGTCTACACCCCCACTGCGCTTATGTGAGCCTTATATGGAGGTACCTACCTGGTAACTACCCACCTTTGGGTGTTCTCGAAAACATTGGGGTCATTGGGGTCCCCCTTACCTAATGGGATAATGGAAAGAAAATGGAAACTACTATAATGGGGAAGGGTTTAAGGATGTCGGGATATAGGGTTGAGGGTTTAGGGATTAGGGATTAGGGTCTAAATGGAGCGTTTGTGGAAACAACTATGTGATCCATCCCCAATCATCGCCATTTCTCCAAGCGAACCGGAACGACCAAGTCCGGCCAAATGAGCCACCCTAAACCAATGGGGCCAAGATCCTGGGCCCTAGATGCTGCGGGCATTGAAGCGCACCCGGAAACCCAAACCCCAAACCATCAACCCTCAACCCTAAACCCTGAACTCTCCACCCTATCGCTACGCTCCAAACCCGCAACCCTCAACCCGAACCTCTAACCCCCAAGCCCTGAACCCTCAACCCTCACCTATAGTCCCCCTTAAGTAG